ACTTCGCCTTTCTGTGCTGGGACGATGTATCTGTCTCTACCAGACCAGGATCGGCCCTGAAAGACAGGATCAAAGCAGCCCGCCTCTTAAAAGATCTATAATTGTGCCGTCGGGGACGCAAAAACCCCTACAATTTCAAATTGCCTTTGTGTTTTTTTTTAGCCATGGGTACACAGTATGACAGCAGATTTAATAATTTCCCCATGTGTGCTGAAGGAGTAATGGCATTCATCATACTTTGCATCACGAGGGAATGTGCTAATATTGAGTGCACACTGCCAATTTGAGGCATTTGATTGAGTCGGAGCTACCTTGATTTTTTTTTCTGTCCTGTGGTTTTATGCACCCCACATAAATTTGCAAAATATGATCATTCTTTGCATAATTTCTGATTATTTTCCTTTATCATTCTTTGCTAAAATTAACAGAATCACATAATTTCACATTTTTGGGCTCAGTTTGCATAATTTCAGAATTTTTCTTGCATAAAACGACGGTGACAGTTTTTTTTTTTCTTCATGGATGTGGCAAAAGCTACTATTTTGGCACATTTCGACCCAATTCGACTAAATTCGACTGTGACCTTCAAAACTTGAGAAAATCAAACACGCTTATTTTTCAAAGTCGCGAGTCGAATGGGTCGTGGTAGAGGCTTTTTTTCCCTAGAAGGAGGAACATCTGGTTGACTCTGACTCCGATTGATTCGACCCGATTGGCATTGTGCACTGGCTGTAATGGCCACCGAGAGTCCATCACTGAAGTCTGTCCTTAGAATTTTTACTAAGACCATCACAGAATAACAGATTTAGTTAAGATAAGATAAGATGAGATAATACTTTATTATCTCACAGGGAAATTTTTCTTGGCTGTCCAGGACCGTAAAAACACATGCAGGTATACATAAACAATTCACATTATATATATTACTCTCATTAAAATTCAATATGAAAAGAGAAGTAAAGCTGACAAAATGTACATTCACATCAGATGTATCATTCAACCACATGCAGGAATTTAATTACAAGACCTTTGGAGTTATATGGTCGCTTTTAAGCACAAGTGGGCTATCCAGAAAAATGCTGTTTTGAGATAAATCGAAGGTGAAGTTTTTGCCCCTTGTTCAGTTTCTTTAAAAGACAAGGAGAGTTTTCTCTATAACCAAACAAATATACACAACCAATGAAACCAAACTTCTCCTATAGGTAGGGTAGTGCCTACTTTTGGTGTAGGTAAAGATTTCTGCAAACCCCCAAAATTTTGGTTAGCCCGCTTGTCCATAAAAGCGACTATGTACATGTATAGTGATCTGTAAGAGCCTCGTCACCACTGAGCAGCGCCGGAAGTATATGTATGTTACAGTACGTGCTTAACTCTTACACAACTGCCCCGTCTGATTTTCCTTAGAAACCCTTTCTTTCACTTAATGTCTGGAGTATATCAGCAGAGTCTTATTTAGAAAATACCCAATTCATGTCCACCTCCGGAATGAAATTACAAATGAGATATTTTAAAAATCGTATTAATTAAAACCCTCAGGGTAAGACATGTGTGTGTGTGTGTGTGTGTGTGTGTGTGTGTGTGT